AAAAGTGAAGGAGCTGCAGAACCCCTACCACAAGGTGTGGGAGGCAAACCACTGCTCCAGTGCTGCGCCCACGAGCTGCCAGTTCTACAAAGAGCTGGACGCGATACTTGGTGGCGAACCCACCTCCACTGCAAAGGCTCCTGTGGATATTTCATTGGCTCATGTGCCAGTTGAGAGTGGTCCGGGCCAGGAGGAGGAAATCTTGGACAAGGATGTGGAGGGGGACCCCGAGGCAGAGGATGACTTGGAGGCCAGAGATGCATGCAGCCGGGAGCTCTTTTCTACTCCGGAAGAGCCTACCCAGTCACAGCAGTCGGATCTTGGCGAAGCGCAAACAGGAGAGGAGGCCCCTGGTAAGTGGAACTGATTTGGGGAATTGCTGAAGCGAGTTGTTGGGGGCAGGAAGGTTGCAGAAAGCAGGCTTGTCTCCCACCACACACCTAGTCTGAGCGGCGGAACGGGTTGCTGATTGAGTCCCTCACTTCGCGGGAATCTCCCTCAGAGATCTCCAGGAAACTCTCGTGGAGATACTGGGCAATCCACTGCCACAGTTTCCTTGCCAGAGCTGCTTTGTTTCTTGCCCCATTAATGGTAACTTTCCCACACCATAGTGCTGTCACGGGGGGGGGGAGGGGAGGACGGACCATTGCTGCACACAGGCAAGCCGCACAGGGGCCGGGGAGGAGCCCACCGGCTTGGAGAAGACCCTACCTTGATTCCCTGCTCACCTTCAGCAGCGAGATATCTTCCATAATGATCACATCCTGTGGGGACAGGAATGATTATCAGGCCCCCACTACTGTGCTGGCTGTCCCCAAGAGCCACGTACCCAGTGTACAGCAGGGTCAGGGAAGAGTGATTTACCCTGCCCCTGTGGCTACTCACCATTTTGGGCGTCTTGCGGCTCATGTGTGCTTGCCTGGGGTCAGCCAGTTAGTGACAGGTGTGAGAGTACTGGCTGTGTTTTAAAGCACTGAATCAGTGTTGTCTGTGTCGCAAACAATACTGCTTCTGTAAAATGTTGCATTTAAACGTCACAGAGATGAACCTTGGGAGCCCGGCCTCCCTCTTTGTTATAGGCGGCACAACGGCTGCGCAGAATTAGAAAGCGGCCAAAAAGAACTAAGGAGGACTTTCTCCATGAGGTTATGATGCACTCCGCCACTGAGAAACAGGAATTGAAGGAGTAGCGGGACAGCAAGAAGAGGGACTGAAAGGAGAACCCGGCACACCAGAAAGAAACCACGCAGTGGCTCTTAAATGTTATGGAGCGCCAAGTGCACACGCTCCAGGCGATACTAGCTCTTCAAATGGAGCAGCTCCACACCCGCCCTCATCTGCAGCTGCTGTCACAAAACTCTTTCCCATGCGCCCCACACACACCACCAACACACTGTTATCAACTTCCTGGCTCCACTCTCTACCTGCATCATTCCACTCCTCTCTCCTCACAGTTCAGCACTGTGGACTCCCACTGCACTCAACCCCCATCCCTCTGCAGTTTGGCCCTGCTGAAGTATAGCATCTGCAACACTGTACTCCAAAGGAGAAGGCTGGGTAGATCCCTGGACATACACAAATCTGTAGCCGTCCCGGGACCCCTCCTCCTCTTGAGACCTTCCCTTCCTCCTCCCTGCTGATGTATTTTTTTGTTTGACTCTCTCCTCCAGGTGTTGTCTTTTAATAAAAGAATTGTGTTGGTTTGAAAGTAATCTTTATTCTATTAAGTGAAAGCAAAAAGAGCACTGCAAAGCAACATAAAATTATGTTAAGCCTCCTTCTTACATCACGTGCACCAATCACCTCCTAGCATTACAAGCACTGCAATCCTGAGCATAGCAACAAATATTAGCAGCTTTCAGCTTCAAATTGCTGCCTCAAGGCATCCCTGATCCTTATGGCCCTGCCCTGTGCCCTTCTAATAGCCCTGGTCTCTAGCTGTTCAAACTCAGCATCTAGGCAGTGAGCCTCTGCGGTCCAGCCCTGAGTGAAGCTTTCACCCTTCCCTTCACAAATATTATGGAGCGTACAGCACACAGCTATAAGCGTAGGAATATTGTCATCGGCCAGGTCCAGCTTCCCATAGAGGCATCGCCAGCGGGCTTTTAAACAGAGAAATGCATACTCCACAGTCATTCTGCACTTGCTCAGCCTGTTGTTGAAGAGCTCCATGATGCTGTCAAGTTGCCCCGTGTATGGCTTCATAAGCCACGGCATTAAGGGGTAGGCGGGGTCTCTGAGGATCACAATGGACATTTCAACTTCCCTGATCTTCTGGTCCGGGAAGAAAGTCCCTGCTTGCAGCTTCTTGAACAGGCCAGTGTTCCAAAAGATGCATGCGTCATGCACCTTTCCGTACCAGCCTGCGTTAATGTTTGTGAAACGCCCACGGTTATCCACAAGCATATGGAGAACCATTGAGAAATATTCCTTGCGATTAATGTACTCAGGGGCCAGGTGGTCTGGTGCCAGAATTGGAATGTACATGCCAGCTAACGCCCCTCCGCAGTTAGGGAAGACCATTTGTGCAACGCAATCCACAATGTCACGCACGTTGCCCAGAGTCACGGTCTTTCGGGGCAGGATGCGATTAATGGTCCTGCACACTTCCATCAACACGACTCCAACAGTCGATTTTCCCACTCTGAACTGGTTAGCGACCAATCGGTGGCAGTCTGGACTAGCCTGCTTCCACAGTGCAATCACCACGCGCTTCTCCAGCGATAAGGCGGCTCTCATTCTCGTGTCTTTGCGCTGCAGGGCTGGGGCGAGCTCATCACACAGTCCCATGAATGCAGCTTTCCTCATGCAAAAGTTCTGCAGCCACTGCTTGTCATCTCAGATGTGCATCACGATGTGATCCCACCACTCAGTGCTTGTTTCCCGAGCTCAAAAGCAGCGTTCCACTGTCAGCACCTCCGTGAATCCCACAAGCAATCTCGTGTCATAGCTACTACAGGTGGTGAGATCAATGTCGCACTTGTTTTACCTTTTTAGTTTAAGGAATAACTCCACTGCCACTCATGACGTGTTGGTCAGAGCGAGCAGCATACTGGTCAGCAGTTCGGGATCCATTCCTGCAGCGCAAAAGAGGCAGGGCATGCAGTACACAAACCGTTGAAAGACGGCGCCAAATGCGGATGGAAGCACAGGGATTGCTGGGATGTGAAGCAATGTATCATGGGGCATTGGGACCCAGGATGCCCTCCACCCTCTCTGCCTTCCCACAAGTCTCAGTGGCAAAAGAGAAAGAGGTGTTCTGTGGGATAGCTGCCCAGAGTGCACTGCTCTGAATACCACTGCAAGTGTGAATACGCTATTGCGCTGGCAGCTGTCAGTGTGAACACACACTGCGGTTTTCCTTCTATGCTCTCTGAGCAGTGCTGTAACTGCTGGTGCTGTAACTTTGGGCTAGTCTACACTGGCAACACTAAAGTGCTGTCGCGGCAGCACTTTAATGGGGCTTGCGTGATCGCGGCGCTGGGAGAGCTGACCACCTCCATGAGGGGCGTGGCTCCCAGCACTGGTACACTGTCTACACTTTTTTTCACACAGTGCTGTAAATTGCCAATGTAGAAAAGCCCTTTGTCAGTGTAGACATGCTCTTAATCACAAAACCACCCAGCCTCTCAAATTAAATCATAAACAGGGGCCACCCGAGGTCTTGTCAAGGTTAGGGAAATTTACATCGATGTAATTGCACTGATATGCAAATTAATAATCTAGATGAGCCCTTAATTAACCACCTATTGAGCTGAATGGGGCAACTCAAACCTTCTAGAGTTTGTTTCAGTGTCCCTGGAAACGAAGGCAGATATTGCTGCATCAATTATACCTGGATCAGATTTTGAAAGCTTTCTTTACAATCATAACAGAAGGCTTTCATTTAAAAGAGAGAAATTGTGGAGAACAAGATGGCAGTACCTGGTAGCCAAAACAGCTTGACTTTGCTCAAATTAAGTCCTGACTAGGCCATTCTGCTTCCTCAGGTTTGCAAACAAAAGATTTTCAACCTAATCTTATTGCTCTTTTCATTTAAAGATTTGACAAGGAACAAATTTCCTAAAGAATTTCAGGGTTTTAAAATGAGACAAGGTGGGTGATGAGGTAATATTTGCTAATGAGCCAACTTCTGTGGTGACAAGAGACAAGCTTCCTAGCTTACCCATGTATGAGCTGAAGAGGAGAAAGCTTGTCTCTTCCACCAACAGAAGTTGGTCCAATGAGTATTACCTCACCCATCTTGTCTCTCTAATACTCTGGGACCAATACAGCTACAACTCCACTGCAAATAAGGTTTTAAATCACAGTTGGAGCCAGATTTTATTTTCCTTTACTCCCAGTGCAATTCCACTGAATAGACAGGGTTATGCAGCTGTTTGTGTAGAATCCTGCCCCTGATACACCAATAATTCAGTATTTGCTTCCGAAAGGTGAACACAGGACTGGGCATATTTTGTGGATACCTCCTACCCCTAAAAACAGTCCTAGGAGTGAAATACAGAGGCCAGGTCTAAATTTACATCAGTATAATTAGAAGAACAGGAGTACTTGTGGCACCTTAGAGACTAACAAATTTATTAGAGCATAAGCTTTCTTGGACTAC